AGTTTGTTTAATTTAATGAAGTATATTTAATTAATCATAATCAATTATTCTAACGTGGAAAAAGAAAGGAGAACAAAATTCATTTATTATAATGATTTCAGTTTCCATGGGTCGTAAACAAGGAAAAGTGAAATTTTTCAATTGTCAAAAAGGCTATGGGTTTATTATTCCTAACGAAATTATCGGTGATAATAGTAAAATAGAAGGTATGAAATGTTGTTGTTGGATTGGAAGGAATCGGAAAAAACGTTATAAAAAAAATTTACGTGATTCATTTATTTGTATATTTTTTTGTAAACATATATAAAGAAGTTTTTGTGCATTATTCTTCGATCTATAAAGATGGAGAATTTAAAAGTCTTGCAGAGGTAATTTTTAATTAATTAAATTCTTTGAACCTCCTCCCTCTCTCATTTTTATTCTTCCTCCTGGTCTAACTAACGATTTAAATTAATTTATGTGTGAACTAAAATGTGTTAAAGGGCGAAGAGGTAACTGAACTGACTAACTAACCATATTAGTCAATTACATATACGTAAGATTTGTTATGATTCGTTATTAATTAATGATATCAATATTACATTATATATTATGGTTCAAGGTTGAATTTGAATTGATGCGAGGACCTAAAGGATTTCAAGCTACTAATGTTGTGGCAAATGTTGTAGTGACGGTGGATGTTGATGGTGATGAATATTAGAATGAAGGTTTTGAGAATATCTTTGAGGGTATTGTTGAGGCTGTGATGTTAAAGTTGGTGATGTGTTTCGTTGTGATACTACTGATTGAGGTATAAAAGTAGAATGAAAACTTGAATAAGGTTGTCCAATTGCTATTGCTGCATTAAAACCTTAATTTTTAAAGGAATATATTAATATATAAAATAAATTACTATTTACTATTTGCCATTCACCATTCACTGTTTACCTAAAAGAATGAATAAATACAATAAATTAAACTTTTACCAGTATTGTTATTATAATTGTTTTGATCTAAATATTTTGAATTAAATCCAATGTAATTTGCACTAAATAAATTTCAAATATATAAAATTAAAATTAAATTCCATTCAATTTATTCAAACTATATAATATAATAATTACCTTTTGATTTGTTGTTGTTGACTAGGTGCAGC